AAGTCTTTAAATTCAACGTCTCTTCTGTTGGATGTTTGATTTTTCTAGAGGGCTGTAAAGACTTTACCGTATATCCTGCGCTTTTATTATTCTTTTCCAGTACACTAGGGAGCAGTAGTGACCTGAGTGCATCCTTGGCAAATTTTGTGGGTATCCTCTTATTCTGTGGAGACCATGATACCATACCCCTAAACATACTCTTCTCCATTCTAGTTTCAGTTTTAGAAAACAGAACTTAAAGTAGGACAAAATTTGGCTTTTGTGAATTTTTTTTCCTTTGAGGCAGTAATACAGGCCTCATATTTGTTTATTTTGTATTTCATTATTTATACACACTTTTTCCGGAGGATGAAGTTAGCAACTTTAGCCACTGGATGGCGCAAATATGTTAGAGTCTGGTGGAAGCTTGTGTTGTAGAGCCCAAGGTGCATCAAGTAAAAGAGGGTCAGCCTGGGAAAAGGCTTCTGGGGCTTGAAATTTATGTACTATAGACATGGATCCAAGTTCCCTAGGAATGCAGATTAAGAGAAATTTTTAGTGTTGGATGACTGGCAAGTCAGATCACTGAATAAGGGAAAGAAAAAGAAGGAAAGGAAAAAGAAAAGTGGAATAAGGAGCAGGAAGAGAAAGATGAAGAGATAAAGAAATATGAGAGGAAAGAATGTAAGTCTAGAGAGATGAATTCAAGTGTTACTAACGATTACAGGATGGGCCCTCATTGGCTTGCACCCACGTGGTCACCAATAGCAGTTTTGTTTTGTTTATACATATATATATATATATATATATATATATATATATATATACACATATACTTTAAATTATATTTAAAGTATATATATATATACTTTAATTGAAGTGTAGTCAGTTTACAATGTGTCAGTTTGTGGTGTACAGCATAATGCTTCAGTCATACATGAAGATACATATATTCGTTTTCATATTCTTTTTCACCATAAGTTACTACAAGATATTGAATATAGTTCCCTGTGCTATACAGCGTGAACTTGTTGCTTACCTATTAAATACATATTAGTTAGTATCTGCAAATCTTGAACTCCAAGTTTATGCCTTCCCATTCCCTTCCCACCTGGTAACCATAAGTTTGTTTTCTATGCCTGTGAGTCGAGGATGTACTTAAATAATCGAAAAACAGGGTCCCATGGTAGGGTGGGTATAGTTGGCAGGGGGTGGGTATACCTCAGTGGTAGAACGCATGCTTAGCATGCACAAGGTCCTGGGTTCAATCCCCAGTACCTCCATAAAAAAATTTTAGAAAAGAAAGAAAAACAATATGTGGTAACTTAATGGGAAAGAATTGCAATAAAAACCTTGCTGACTAGTCACTTCCCAGAGGACTAATTGGCTCCCCACAGAAACAGTTTTATCAAGCTGACTCTATAACTTTGTCTCTAGAGGTGGCAGGGAGAATTGTGCCCTGCTGTAAAGTGATCTATAGAATAAAGGTCACATCCCAAGGTCCACGTGGGAGTTCTCCCTTCCCTTCTGCTCTCTCCCTCTCCTATCCGTTAGTTTTCAGAGATCTCCACTGGTGAGACAATAGGGAATTCAAAATTGTTAACTGATCAGGGAGTCGGAAAAATCCTCAGAAGGACCTTGCTTTGTCTGGGGAAACAAGTCCCAGAAGCCAAGTAAACTGTTCAGTGAACCTCTATAGAGAAAGTCACTGTAAATATTACCTGAATTATATTCTTGCAGAAGCCCTCATGAGTGTAGACTTTGCCCCAGATTTTATCTACTGTTTGTGGATTTTCTGTGGTGGTAAGGACATTCTGCAGTGCATAAGCCATGCCCCTGTGAGAAAAGGCATTGTAATCGTTTGGCTCTGGAATCCTCGTTCAGGAAGGATGCAGCTCACCATTACCGCAGGGTGCAGCATCAGACCTACTTTAGGAATTCTGGATTTTCAGGAGCCCTTGTCTGGGTCCTGTGTGCTGGTGGTCCCAAAGCCCTTTGGGGATGAGTCAAGAGGAGGACTTTCAGAATGCTTGGGGTCACGTTCCCTTCACCAGCGTGTAGATGGCTGCGTATGGTGACAGAGGCTGTCGTAAAACCCTGTGAATGTCGGCCTGGGAAAACAGGTGCCCCACCCTCAGTCAGCTGAGAGCCAGTGCGCGGTGAGGACAACAGGGGAGTTGGTGAATGTGCCACACAAGGGGCTGTTTTGCTCAGTTCCTTCGCGGCTGTGTTTAAACCTTTTGTCAAAGAAAGCAACAGGTCCATTCATCGTGCTTAGAGGGAAGACGTTCTGTTCTCATTTGATGGGATGGAAAAGTATCTGGTTTTTTTTTGTGGGAGTACCAAGTGAATTTCAGAGGCTTGTGGCTAAGTCAGTAGCAGTGGCATGAGGGTAACTGACTGTAAGCCCAGGCTCCCCCTTCGTCGGCCTGGCATCACTGTCTGATTGTAATGTCCCTGCTGAAGATACAAGTGAAAAATTGGCAAAAATCTGCAGATTGATAAATAGTAGGGAGAAGACAGTGTAGTGTCCTTCGTTCAGTGTGTGAGGCAGAGCAGAGCTTTTCAGAAGTATGTCTGGTCTGCAGCTTTCTGGGGGCTTGATGAGTTGGGAGCATCTTGTCCAACCTAGAGACTGAAAGGAAATATGAAAGGTAAAGAAGGATGCAAATGGGTTATTTCTTTATGTCCCAATAATGATAGCTTAGTGGAGAACCCCATATAATTCCAAATAAACATCATTTCACTTCTTTGTTACCCATTAATTCTAGGAAAAGTTATTGTGCTTAGGCTGAAAAGGTATCAGCATGGTGCACTCATATATGAGAACCTACAGCATGTTAGAACCTATAAACTCTGAGCACAGCCCACCCACCCCTTACTTAACCTATTTGCCATGAATGGAAAGGGCCATGGGTGTGCAGCTACTGTGGACCCCAGATGCACAGGGGTGCTACTTCATCCCTGGAACTGGGCCCAAACAATCTCGCTCTGTTCAAAAAGGGGCAGAGATCTGGCTCCATGGGGACCAAATATTTTTTTACTAATCCCTTCCCGCTCTCATGACCCCTGACTCCATGCCCCATCTGATTTTGTACGTGCTTTCTAAAAGCTTAACTCTTATGAACATAGACTGTAAGCCCCTTGAAGGCAGGGAACTTGGCACATAGAAGGCTTCCAGTAAAATTTTGTGGAATAGATGAATAAGCCAATAAATCCAGTTAAGGAATTAAAAAACCGTAGATTTTAGTTCTGTTTCTACTAGCTGTGTGCTCATAGGATTGTCACATAACCTCTCTGAGCCTCAGTTTAAGTATCAATAAAATGTAGATACCTGCCCTAGCTACCTCCCAGGGTTTTTGTGAGGCATCAACTAGAGTAATGCTTAATTTTTATTCATTTCTTTATCATTCAGTAGCTTATTTTGTTCATGGGAGAAACTCAATCAGAGTGGCTGCTACGTGGTTACTTCTAATTCTGAACTAGACTTTTCAATCCCCCTTCAGGCCTATTTCTTTCAATGTTCAGTAGAGATGTTAATGTAGATTGACACAAAGAACTAAAACTATACCAGATTAGAGAATCATACTAATTTACATGGGGTCATCATCTATTATTAGCAGAAACAGGATTATGGAAAATAACCTAGACCAGAGATGACAAATAAGTTGGCACTGGGTACCTGGAGCACTGGGATAGGAAAGATTCTGTTATCATGCTTGGGTAGAAAGGATGCCCTGCTTAATTTTTTTTTAAATTGAGATATAATTTTCATGTAACATTGTGTAAGTTTAAGGTGTACAATGTGTTAATACACTTAAAATTTGCAATATGTGGGGGAGGGTATAACTCAGTGGTAGAGTGGGTGCTTAGCATGCACAAGGTCCTAGGTGCAGCCCTCAGGACCTCCATTAAATAAACAAACAAACAAACCTGATCACCCCCCCAAAAAAACTATTAAAAAACCCCACAATAAATTGCAATATGATTACTACAGTAGCTTTAGCTAACACCCCTATCACATCACATAAATATCATTTCTTTTTTTGTGATGAGAATGTATAAGATCTAGTCTCTTAGCAATTTTGAAATCTATGCTACAGTATTATTGACTGTAATCACTGTGCTGTGCATTAGATCTCCAGAACGTATTCATCTTCTAGTTGCCCTTTGCTTGATTATTGTATGTGTGGTTGACATGGAACTAAAGAGGGGCAGCGTGTGTCCCATCCTAGACTAGGTAATCTCAGACCATTCTCAGGGCTGTCATTCTACACAAGTGGCCAGCTTCTCTTATTTAGAAAAACCGGAGACCTTGTCTCTTTGCCTCGGTAGATTTTGAAGATGTAGAGAAGGCACCCATCAATCTCTAGTATTCAAAGGCTGCGTCCATTCCTGGTGGGAAAACTGGATTTAAAGCAGCCATGCTGAGCCAGTGGTGTAGTGTCTGACTTAGACAGCAAAGGGCAATATGAATTTATAATCCTGTCAGGAAACTCCAGGGCAGGGAAGAAGGAAGTTCCTTTGCCAAATATTCAGACTGTTCAAGTGTGGTGGTTCCTGAGCTGTGTTGTCTGTAAGAGTTATCCAAGGGCAGGGATGGGGACATAGATTGTGGGCTCTGAAGCTCTTACAATTTCAGGGACCTTTAAAAAATAAAAGGATACAAATTTAAAAAATTACAAAATTGGATACAAGACCTACAGGTCCCATGGATCCTGAGCTTAAGCTTTATGAATTTTACAGTAAATCCACCTCTACTTAGAGAGCTTGTTAAAAATCTTCAAAAGAAAATTCCCAGCCCCACTCTGGCCATTCTGATTCATGATATCTGAGGTCCAGAAATAGGTATTTTCAGTAAGTACTCTACTGTATGATGACTGGGCTGATGGTAAGAAAACTGTAGTACAAATACCTGCCTATTTCATGACACATAAAATAACTACCTGTATTCGTTTCAACTGAAGCAGCTCCCTGTCTCCTAGGACTTACATATCAACCCGATTTTCTTCCCCTAGCAAGTGACGTTAACCATACAGAGAAGACTTTCCTTCTTGGGCTGAGAGTCAAGCTGGGATTCAGCTGGCCCAGGTTGCTGGCCCTCCTTCCTTTGCCTTCTCCACAACCGCTGGCATTGGCATAGCTCTCTGGCTCCCAGGCATTGACCCTGAAGGCAGAAAATGACTGGTATTAACATCAGGTGGCTGGTATGCAACTGGTTATCCTCCAAACCTCCTGCTAGACCATTTAAAGAAAATCATCTCTTCTAAAGAACAAGCAAATACTCAGTCCTCTTGGCTCTGTCCTCCCTAGAGGATGTCCAAGTCCAGCAGAGGAGAAGAACTCGCATTTAGTAGGCAGCTCCTATGTCCTGGGGCCTTCCCCACAGAATCGCAACCTTCATTACCACTGTGAGAGGTAAATGTCATTAGTCCCATTTTAAAGATGAGTCTGCTGAGGTTGGAGAAGGCAAACAACTTTCCCAAAGCCACTCAGTTAGGGAGTGTTGCTGGCAGGTGTGTCCAAACTCAAAGTCTGTGCTTTTCTCATTATGCCAACCTGACTCTGAAACAGAAAGAGGTCTTTACAGATCAAGTCCAAGGACCCAGTACATCAGCAAACTTACGGGGCATGGGACTTCAAAAATGAGAAACATGATAATGGCGACTCTGCTGAGCAACAGGGTGACCGCAATCAGAAATTTGACCACAGCACTCCATTTCCGCCTCTTCTCTAGGTTCTCATCCATGTCTAAAAGGACAGAGGAGGAGAAGAGAGAATTTGAGAGAGGGAGGAGAGCGACCCTTTGACTTGAAGGTCTCCTGGCTCACAAGACTGATAGGGGCCCAGCCTGCTTCAGAGGCAGAGCCTGAATTTCCAGTTTAGACCCAGAGTCCGGAGTTGGGTAGGCATCACCAGCTCTGCTCTAACCTCCTTTGCAGTCTCTTCCCATTGAATCACCTTCACTGGGATTTGGGATTTTTCCGTGATCAAGTAGGACCAATTCTTGCACTGCTTTCAGGACAAGGAAAGGTGTAGGTACCCAGGGGAGTTTGTCGCCAGCAGCCCTCTCAGGGTCTCTACCCCTGTGCTCTGACACACATACTGTGTAGGATTAGAAAATCACCCTTCCTATGCTCCTCTGGGCTTTAGTGGGGCATAGGAGGAACAGCGGTGAACTGGCATTGCTTTTGGGCCATAAGCCAGATTTGGGGACAAATGGCTCACATGCATCTTATTATTACCAATTTCATATTTACTTTCGTTTTGGAACTGGGATGTAACCCAAGCTGGAATCTTACAGAATTTGCATCCTGGCCATTTTAGGGAGGGCTGTTTGTAAAAACAGTGCAGATGAAAACATGCTCTTGGTGGTTGTCATCACTGTAGTAACTGCTTGGAGTTTAAGTGTTGTCTGTCTATTCACGCAATGGCTGGAATTACCCACCACACCAATACAATGTACGCTGTCCCCAAATCTGATTACAAGGTTAGCTCACTTGTGTGGAGGTGAAAGATTATTAATGGTGTCAAACTACAAACATTTCTGGGACTTTCTTTATAGAGCAGCTGATTCTTTCCATTAGATATGGAGTGATTTTTAAATGCAAACTGTAACTTCTCAACGCCCAGGGAAATTCTAGGAGACCCAGCCTAATGCTGGGGCTAAAAATGTTTCTTTTTCTCTTTGTTCTTGTCTCACCCCTACTCACCCTGTACCTTGTTTTAGAGGGCTAGAAAATTCATCAAAATACTTGTCGTTTTCTCTCCTTCTTTATTCCCAGGAGTCATGGAGGTAGTGGTGGGGAAAGTCTCTGATGAAGCCCTCATCACTGGACAGACCTGACATTGGGAGATCCCGGTAAAAAAAGCTATCAGACAAGAAAGAAACAATGAAAGGGCGATTGAGAAAACTTGATCCTACCTCTGATTTTACTTGGGAAAACCCCAGCTCTACTCAGCTGATTTTAAACTTCTAATCATGTTCCCATCGATCTGTCAGTAGATTTAAGGTGTGGGCCTTAATAATGCCAAAGAATAAATGAGGATAGAGATACTAATAAGAGATATGGATTAAATCCGCATGGGGCCTTTGACTAATGTAGAATCAGAGTGAAGGAGTGGAATGTAACTTGTTTGCCTGCCACTGCTCTGACACACACACTGTAATAATAATAAGGATGGAGGGTATAACACTGTTGAAAGTTTCCTTCTTTAAAAAAGATGGCTCCAAAGTCCAGGGGAGAACGTGAAGTAGCATACTTGACCTTAATGACGGCTGCTGGTCTGTCTAGTGAAGTCCCAGTCATGTCTAAGGCAATGAATTTGACAGAGGATTGGGGGGAGGGTGCTGGAGGGAGAGACCACCCAGCTTCATACACCTCTCAATTTCATTCCTTCAGCAGATATTTTTAAATGAATAGCTAGTATGTGCCAGGGACTGCTCCGGTACTCGGGACGTATCAGTTGGATACTTTCTAGCATGGGAACAAAGGGGAAGGAGGGTTGGGAGGAGGGCAGTGGGAAGCGGACAAGAGTAAGTGCAGTAAGTTTTATAGTATGTTAGAGGAGAAAGCGCTATGAAAATAAAAGTAGAGCAAGGGAAGGGAAGAGTCTGAGGGGCGTGGGTGGGTAGAGGCTGGTCTCCTGGAGAAGATGAGAATTGAGCCAAGACTTGAAGGAGGTGAGGAGATTAGCCAGGCAGATGCCTGGGGGAGTAGTGGCCTAGGCAGAAGAGTGTGTCTGGCGTGGTTTAGTTTTAGAGGAAGAGCAAGGAGGCAGGTGAGACCGGAGGGGAGTGAGCAAGGGGACAGTCGTAGGAGACGAGGCCGTTTCTAAAGGAAATGGGCCCATGGCACTTTAGGCCTTGTAGGCCAGTTTGAGGACTTTGGTTTTCATTCTGTCAGAAATGGGGAGCCATTGCAAGTTTTTGAGCAGAGAAGTGATGGAATGGCTTTGTTTTTAAAGGATCAGTGGGCTGCTGAGTTGGAAATAGATTCTGGGGGGCCTGGGTAGAAGCAGAGTAACCTGTTAGGAGGCTACTGGAGTCATCCAGCTCAGGGGGGAGGGGATAGCTCAGCGGTAGAGTGCATGCATGACGTCCTGGGTTCAGTCCCCAGTACCTCCATTAAAATAAATAAATAAATAAACCTAATTACCTCTCCCCCCAAAAAATTAACAAACAAATATATAAAACTTTAAAAGAAGAAATTCAGGTGCGAGGTGATGATGACTCAAACAGCTGTGGAAAAGATGGAACACGGATGGATTCTGGCTGTAGTCTGGCCCCAACTTCATTTGCCTCCAGAACTGATCTAACCCGATTCACATAGTGGTTCATACTCCATTTTTAATGTCTCCTATCATTGTTCATTAAATTAAGGTCTCTAAGTCCTCCTTGCCTTTTCTAAATTACTCTCCCAGGTCTTCAGTCCACGTAAAAATGACAGTTCCTTACTTCAGACGCCAGTGGCCACAGTACCAGGTACTGTGCTTGAAATTACAAGGGAAGTAGTCCCTGATTTGTTTAATCGGAAAGACTGTGCTGGCAAAGAGAGGCAGAGACAAAGAGCCAAGAGGCTCAAAAGGAAACACAAGGAAACTGTGTGAAGCATTTTCAGCATAGCTCAAGTCAGTTCTCTGAAATGATAGCACATGCGTTTCTGGGTCAGATGAGATGAAGATAAACAAATCTCACTTTGGACAAGTAACATAAGCTCTCTGAGTTTTGGTTTCCTTATCTGCAAGACGGTTATAATAAAATAATTCTTGGTCTATCTGTTTCACAGGGGCGATGTGAAGATCAGAAACAAAATGAGAAAGCAGGTGTGAAAACACTTTGCAAACTGAGTGATAGTATGATTGAGAGAGGAGGCAGAACTTAGAGATCCTCTCTCTGCGTAGAAGAACTGTGCGCTGTAAGCCGGAGGGATAATGGTATTTCAACGTGGCACATCTTCCCACCTCCTAGAGCCACTGTTTCAATGTCTACCTAATAGGCTTCATCTGTCAGTGTATTTCCAGTTCTGTGCAGCTTCTAAATTAATGTCCATCCCTGTTGGCAGCTCGTCTCTTTTACTTGTCATCTGTTAGGTAACTGAGCATTAAGGTGGAGCACGTTTGTAAATACAAGGACTCCATTCCCGTGATGATAGAATTGCAATATTTGACTGAGGATATACGAGCCAGAATGCCCCACTTTGAGGAGAGGTGCAAAAACCCAAATTTATGAAATGGATAACTTAGGAGATGATGCTTTGCTTTGTTACAAAATAATTTATTTTAAATAGGGAATATTAGGTACATTGTATTTAAATGAAAATCAAACCTTAGAGGTTATTCTGTAATAATACTAGCAGGTTGAAAGGGCTGTTTAAGAGGCCTTACATACTGCTGTTGCACATATCTAGAAATTAGACCCTCTAGTCAAATCTCCCTTTTGTAGCTATGGAAACTGAGCACTGGAGACATTAAGTAACTTGTCAGAAATGATAATTAATATCAGAATAAATGCTTGTTTGATGTGATTTCTCCCGTATGCCAGTTTCACATGGGGTAAACAGACCATAGGAATCACTTCACACTAAACAAATTCCAAAACAATGACATTTTAAACATTTACATAGATTTGCCTAAGGAGAGGCTAATCCATTTTCTTGAGGTGCTGCTAAGCTCCACTTGCCTCCAAAGATGTCAACTAGAAGTCAGTGCCTACCTCCAGCTCATTTTCCAGTCTCACCTTTGCCTGTTACGAGGGATCCAGTCTGCACCTTGGGTGTAGGGGCCAGGTGACAGCTTGCGGGGGCAGTGCTGCTCCTATGGGGAACAGCAATGACTCTCAAGTTCTTCAGAGTATGCCTGACCTTTCGCCTCTTCTCTGAATATACAAGGTTGACTTCCACTTTGCTCTCAGAACCAAGACACTGCAGGGCAGCCACAGTCTGAGTTTGGATAAATGTGGACCTTTTGGCTTCTGCCTGAGCTTCTGGAAGGAGAAAATCCATATAGGAAAATGAAGCTAGTTCTTCATCTGCATGGTGCCTGGCTCACCCGCTTCCATTCATGGCCCCACTGCTGGACTTTCTTCTCTTTTTCATCCACTTTGTCCTCAGCATGTGTCTATGGTACTGAATACAGAAGCCCTGCCTTTCCTCCATCCCACCTTGGTCCCGTGAAGATCAGTGACTGCGGTGAATTCAGCCCAGAGAAGTGCTCACAGATGCTCTCCTCTTATGTAGAGGGGCTGCAGTGCTGCCTCCTCCTCTTTCTTCACCCGGCTCTTTGATTTATGTAGTCATGCCTTACGTAACAACAGTTAATTTAAAAACGGGTTTCCTGAAAGTTTCTCAGGGGAATACATACCTTTAAAACAGGATACTTGAGATCTGGGCTCAGAATGGGGGAGACAAGCATCTTTGAAAGGTGAAAATGTTCTGGAATAGCAAAGTGGCTTTTCAGGAAGGGCCCATTCCCTACCTTGCATTAGCACATCTCTGATGTTTCTCACATCCTTTGGGAAGCGACCAGGCAGCTGTTCCACTTGGCAGTTGCTATCTCTGAGTTCCGCAGGGGCGGAAGAAAGGTCAAGATTTACTGGGTACTTCTTCTTTAGAATTCTGGGCACTGGAGACAGAGATACAAAAGAATGTAGTTCCTTCTAATAAAACTTGCAACTGGGGAGATCAAATGCTTCCTCCAAAAGACTTCAAGGTATATACAAGTGTCCATTAGCCTAGTATAAAGTAAACTGGGTACCAGTCTATTATCATTAGGGGAAAAAAAGCTGAAAGAGTTAACTAAGTTCGTGAAAGACTAACCAACTCATTCCTTCAAACCCTGCTTATTATCTTTTCTTCCTATTCCATCTCTGTTCTCATATTAAAACTTTGGGAAGTTTATTTAGTGTAACATTGGACAAGGTATGTCTCCAGGTTTCCGTGGAAGTGTAAGTTCATAGTTATTTATGGTTTTGGACACATAATTCACAGGGTGATGTGAGTTTCCTTCGTTTGTTAAATTTGTTACTGTTGCACCTCGTGCTGTTTGGCCTTAACTCTGGTGAGCTAGTTTTAGAGATGAGGTGTTTAGGACACTTTAAAAAAATCATGTTTTAAGTAAAGTTATCAAAGAGCAGCAGAAGGTGCCATCCACCCCCTCACTACCCTTTCTCTCAGCCCTTCCCACCCAAGAGCATGCCTATCTATTTGGAAGTGACACTCTGAAAAAGGAAGACAACATCTTATGAGGGCTTCTGAATTTGGGAGTCTTAGGTGATGACAATATTGAAACTGTGACAGCACCTTCTAGGAAAGAAATCCATCTAACGGTGGTAAAAGGAATTTTAAAATTAGTTACATGAACAAAACAGAAGAATGCATCACATTCTCTGAAGACTTCTCACCATGAAACAGCTGTTTTGCTGGGTTGAATAAGTTGCAGTCCTGTTTAAAGGCAAGAGGATACGGGGGTGACTGGAAGGCATCACCTACTGATACTGGCTGTTATTTGTTTGACCCCCAAACGCTTTCTAGGCCTCTCTTCAGATTTCCCAGTAGACTAGACTGGAGAAGTACTTACCTTTCTTGTCAGCATCATAGGAGGTAATGATTAGGCTGAAAACCAAGATGGTATCCATGTTGGCTTAGCACATTCTCCTTGCAAAGACAGTATGCTGTGGGTCTCATAACTTGACTCTCACTGCTTTCACTGCTCTGGAACCAAGGCTGACCCTGGGAGAATCTGGCTCCACCCTAATTATTTTGCCACTTATTTCCTGAAGACCATTTTGGAGCTTACTGGCAGGAGGACCGAGTTTGCTTGTCAATGATTGATTCGGAAGGTCTTCTCCTAACTTCACTGCTGCTGCCGACATAAGGAACTGTAATTACCTGGAGGTTTCCCTGGAAGAAAGCACATGAACATCCAGTGAGATGCTTTACAAATACTTGTGGATAGACACGTGGACATTCACTTGCATGTTCACTGACTCAAGCATATCGGTTTATACACCGTTACAAAGAGATGGAGAGATTTCCATTAAGGAAAGTGATTTCTTGACTAGAGTAGAAAACCAGGATTGAGTGAGTCAGTAAGTCACATGGGAGAGGGCACTGGACTCGGCATCAACAGAACTGGGTTCTCGTTCGGGCCCTGTTGTTAAGTGTATCATCATAAGAAAATTGCCTGACTCCTCCGGACCTCAATTTTTCTCCTCTGTAAATGGAGAGTTCCGACCCAGTGACCTCTAGAATTCATTCGCTTTTCTATGCATAAACTTACATTAGCACAGACATACTTGTCTGGTTTTGCACATTTTCACACTCCTGAATAGTGAAGTGGGTGTAGGTAGACCACGTTCCTACAACGGTTGGGCTGAGAGGTCATGAGGATGAGCAGAAGACGCCAGGTGAGGGATCCTGTCTGCAGTTTGGGAGGGCTTTCCTAGACAGGTAACAGCTTGTAGAACTTTTTTCTAAAATTGTGTCTTTTAGTAAAGATAGGACATCTCATCTAATACTCAGCTGACTTTGTGATAGCACAGCTAGGTGCGTCACAAGGCAGAAGTGAAGATCTCCTCAGACCCTCTGCCTAAGGCCAGAGCCTCTGTGGTCTCTCTGCCCGCTGTGAACGTGCTCCACTGGCACCACCATCGGTCTGGCTATGCCTAAGAAGGTTCTCGAGGCTGATGCTCTGATAATAGACCCACAACTGTTTCTCTACTACTTGATTCAAGGGACTTTCCATGAGGGAGTGCCTGAGATGTAAGTCAAATCATACTTTAACTATTGCCCTGTTACCTGACATTTTAGTTCAGGTTGAAATCTGGCTAAGTGGAGCATCAAGGGAAATCTTGGTGGGAAACAGGAAGGAGAGAGAGATCACTGAGAGACAGCGTGTTGCCTGAGATGTGGAAGGAGGAGAGGATGTGCTGAACGTCCAGCCATGGTGCCTTCCAGCCCTTCATTCCACAAGTCTTTATTATGGGCCTACAGTGTGCCAGACACCATTCTAGCAGTGAGCACCAGCACATCTGCATTCACGTGAAACGATGGGAAGCAGATAGTAAACGTGGTTGAGAATAAAATAATACAGATGGCTAATAAGTGATATATAAATACACATGCAAGAGAATTAAAGGTTGTGATCATTGTCGCAAAGCAGCAAACAGGGTGATGAGGTGAAGGAGCCCTGGCAGAGGCCACTTTAAGTAGGGTGGTCATGGAGGACTTCTCTGAGGAGGTGACATTTGAGCTAAGAGAACCAGGGGAGTTGGTGTCCTCGAAGCCAAGAAAGGAGAGTATTTCCAGGAAGGGATGGTCAGCAGGTTGACTGCTGAGAAATGTATCTAGTGAGGACAGAACGTCCACTGGACTTGGCAGTTCTGCGAGAGCAGTTCCACTGGAGTCGGGGAAGTAGGAGGGGCTGAGAGGGAACTGGAGGTGATGAAGTGTAGGGCATCTTTCTAAGACATTTTGCTATGGAAAGGAGCCAAGAAGTGAAGCCAGCCGAGTAGAAGGAACATACATGCCTCAGATCTTCATGGTCCAGAGCAGCGTTGTCTTGTTGCTTTTTCCTTCTGCAGTTGCCTGATTCTCAGCAGGGCGAGGTGGGTGGAGAATAAGGGGACTCCATTACCTTTCCTAGGTTTCATCATTTTTGCTTACTATTTCCTTAATATGATGGCATGGTTCTCTCCTCCCTTTTGGTATCAGACACTTCCCCCTTTTGCTCTGTCTGAAGTTTTCTATAGACTAGTTTCTGGATGCGATGCCATGTTACAGCGCTGCCACCTTGCAACCGGGGAGGGAAAGGCTCTGAGTGCTAGTCTCATTGTGTGTCACAAGGGGGCAGAAGAGCTCACTCTTCCCGAAAGAGACCTTGTGCTTGGACAAAGACAAGCAAGAGTTTTCTCTGGCTGATCTCAGGCCCTTCCCAAAAGTCCCAGTCAGAGCAGCTACACTGTGGGGTACTGAGAAGCGAGAGAGCTTCATTAACGAGTCAAAATATCTAGTTTTAGAAAAATAGACCCAGAACTGTTTCTCTACCACTTGACATTTTGACTGGTTTTCTAAGTGTTTGCCGTCTTTGTGGAGGAGAGAATTTCTGTTCTGATCTCATTTCCCCACAACGAAACTTTCAAATTTAGGAGCGAAAAAAGCTGTGAGTTTTATGGTGTGTGCAGATGAAAGATGTGACTCTGGAAGATAGTAGGAAACCCCAACTGACAGGTGCAGCAGGGTGGGTCTGTGGGAGGAGCGCTTGACAAGAAGCCAGGAGGCCTACCTCGGTTCTAGATCTGGGCTCTGCAGTTGATAGAATCACTTTGTCACTTACCTTCTCTGGCCTCTGTTCCAGTTTCTTTCCTTCTCTCCTTCTTTCTTTCTGTTAATGGAGGTACTGGGAATTGAACCCAGGACCTTGTGCATGCTAAACATGCACTCTACTACTGAGCTATACCCCCCCACCCCTGTTTCAGTTTCTTTAGTGAGGTTGGACGAGACGGTTTTGAAGGCCTCTTCCGACTCTAAAATGATTATTTCAATGCCGTGCTCTGCTGCCCTTTCTTTTAAGGGTGTGTTTTTTTTTATTTGTTTGTTTGGCTTCATTTTAAATTCTTTTATTGTGGAATGTGGCATACATGTAGAAGAGTATATAGAATCCTTTACCCTTACTTGGGAGGGAGCAAGTAAACAGGAGAAGTGGCTGTGGCCTGAGCATCTGAGAACCAATCAGAGGGTTGGCACTGCGAGGGTTTGCCCGGCCCTGCTCAGTCCCTTGGTTGTACCACGTTGAAAAGGCAACTTGGCCCCTTTGGGACAACAGGAACTTTCATCTCCTGCAGATGGGAGTGTAAATGGGGACAGCCTGTTAGAAAACAGCTTGGCGTTAATCAGTGAAGCTGAATATACCCTGCATACCCTGCAACCCAGCTCCCACCTCTGGATTTATACCCTGGAAGAACTTCCACATGTGCCCCAGGAGCATTGTTCATTATGGGCCCAAACTTGAAACAATCTAGTGTCTCTCAGCAGTAGAATGGATATAGTAATACAATGAAATATTATAAAACAGTGAGAATGAACAAACTATTGCTATGTGAAACAGCATGGATGAATTTTACAGACATAATGTTGAGTAAATACATACATACATACATACATACATAAATAAATAAATAAATAAATAAATAAATAAATAAATAAATAAATAAAGCAAGCAAGCAAGCAAGCCAGGCACAAAAGAATGTGTTTCCTGTTATATAAAGTTCAAAAATAGGCAAAACTCATTTGTGGTGGTAAAAATCTGGGTAGTGGTTACTGACTGTCTATTTTACTGACTGTCTATTTTAAAAATAATAACAACAATGTGAACATCATGTAATTATCACCCAAAGTAAGGAACTGAGCATTGCCAAGATCTTAGAAGCTCTTTATATGTCTATCCCTTTGGTCACATTCCTTTCCCTTCTCCCAATTCTTATTTTCCCATGCTTTTGATTTTTATTTATTTTTATTTTCTCAAGTCTATACGTTTAGTTGCAGCCAGAGAAAAAGGAAGTGATATACATAGAGAATGAGAGAAGGATTTATGTAATCTCTTAGGGGGAGAATGTGATATTTTACAATTGAATTTCTATTAATGCTTTTTTCCCATGCCTTTAAAGACAGTGAACTATCTGTACATGTTATCACTAAAAACAATTTTTAAAATTCTATCTGCTCTTGAACTTATATAAATGAATTTTAAAGTGAATTTTTTATTACATGTAACACAAAGTGGATGCATCTCTCTTTACATCATCTCCTAGTCACTTCCCACAGTCAGGAGTAAGTAGTACCCAGATTTTTACCACCACAAATGAGTTTTGCCTATTTTTGAACTTTATGTAACAGGAAACACATTCTTTTGTGCCTGGCTTGTTTTTGCTCAACATTATGTCTGTAAAATTCATCCATGCTGTTTCACATAGTAATAGTTTGTTCATTCTCACTGTTTTATAATATTTCATTGTATTACTATATCCATTCTACTGCTGAGAGACACTAGATTGTTTCAAGTTTGGGCCCGTAATGAACAATGCTCCTGGGGCACATGTGGAAGTTCTTCCAGGGTATAAATCCAGAGGTGGGAGCTGGGTTGCAGGGTATGCAGGGTATATTCAGCTTCACTGATTAACGCCAAGCTGTTTTCTAACAGGCTGTCCCCATTTACACTCCCATCTGCAGGAGATGAAAGTTCCTGTTGTCCCAAAGGGGCCAAGTTGCCTTTTCAACGTGGTACAACCAAGGGACTGAGCAGGGCCGGGCAAACCCTCGCAGTGCCAACCCTCTGATTGGTTCTCAGATGCTCAGGCCACAGCCACTTCTCCTGTTTACTTGCTCCCTCCCAAGTAAGGGTAAAGGATTCAAACTAACCCTAGGTCCCAGATCACATGCTCTGTTACCCTGGGACTGTTGCTCGGAGTGGGATGGGGTGGTGAGTTTAATAACGTAAATCATTGCTGAATCAAGGGAGTATACAGAGGATATTTCATTCTTATATGGAGCACTAGTGGGAAACAGAAAGAGGCACAGAGAGAAAAGGGGAAGTAATATTTTCAGTGTGTCTACCATATTCCAGGTTTTGTGTTCGAAACTCAACATTTTGGTTATCACATCTAATCCAAAACACAACCTTACAAGGTAGGTATTGTATTTCAGTTTTGTTGAGAAGAAAACTGAGGCTCAGAAAGGGGGTCATTTGCTCAAGGTCCTGGAGCTTATTAGTGACAGAGCCAGGATTTAGAGCCTGGTCTACCCGATTAAAGAGCTCAAGCTCTCCACAGTGCAGAAGCTAGAGAAGGCAATGCCCCTGCTGCTCTGTTGGCTAAGATCGCCAACACCAAGACCCACTTCTTCTCGGGTCTGCGTGCTGTATTCACCCGCAGAACTGTGCTAGTCAATTGAGATGACTACCTCATTCACTGATTTAAATTGTATTTTATTTTCATTCATTTCTTTGGTTTCCTCTATCCTTTCTTCTTCCTTTTCGTGTTCATAAAGAAATTGGGGCACATCAGCACAGCAGGGCCACTGGTAAGACTTGTGCTGAGGAGATAGCTTTCTACCTGCTAGTCTAGCATTTTAACCAGAGGTGAGATTTAAAAAGCCAGGGACACTGAAATCTTCTGGTCCAAGTTATGATATAGGAGAACCTTAAAACTGAAGGAATGAAAAAGATGAGAAGAAGTTGAGCAGTGGCTCAGTTTTCCTTAAAAGTAAAGACTCTACAAAAATTATTAGTGTTGTATTTTATTATTTACTGTGTTTCATATATAATAATAGCAGTGGAGAGTGAGGATGTTTGTTTGGGGTAGACAGGGGAGGCCTAAACATGTAGCAGGAAAAAGCAGAGTCAGACCTGGGAGAAAGGCTGGAGAAGCCTGAAGGGAGGGTGAGGGCAGGGGAAGGGAGTGATCTCCAGGAGCACTGATGGGCTTGCAGGAGAGGAGAAGATTGTAAAGCTGGGCAATATGAAATGTCAGAATCCCAGGAGTGGACAAGGCCTGAACAAGTCATCTTGTCCACTTTCGCACCTTCATATATAAAGTGCCTTTAAACTTTCTCTAGGTTTGTAGTTGTGAGGTATATAGGACTTAGAAAGGGATTAAAAAAAAAAAGATACTGGAGGTGTCATGTAAGAAGCAGCTAAGCTTTGGTGACTGCCAGTTACAGATTGTACAGATAGAGACTGGAAGTGTCTGGGATTGGTTAACAAGGAGGGAGGGAGAGCTGAAATGCCTTGTGAAAACCCAAGTGTCCATGTGAAAACATTGTGGGGAGTTCCTTCCCCCATGAACACTGTCCTTCATTGTGAAATCCTACCTTTCATCATCAGGACCAGACTTATAAAGTGGCCTCCCTGAGGACATTTTCTGACCTTGTTGTGTGAAGTTCCCTCAGGCTCTTAACTGGACAAACCTGAATGGTGGAGCAGAGCAAAAGAACACAGCCTTCATGTCTTTTTCCCTTATCTCATGACTGAAGCCTCAGTTCTGGTCAAGGCACTTTCTTGATGAAGTCTGTCCATCTGTAAAGCAGCTAAGTATCCTACTGGAGGATTTGCCTCCCAGAAGCGACGTGGAAACGGACAAGCAAGTGTCTGGAGCACAGTGAGAAGTACAGAGCTGGTCTTTATTTCAGTCAAGGAAGCCTTTACTAATATCTCGACCTAGCTATCGAGGGGAGGACCAAACTATAAGAAATACTCTCCACTTTTACGATTATGAAAATTTAGCCGGGGAGAGCTAAAACCAACAAACACACACACATACACACACACAAACTTTTCGCCTAATAAATAACTTCACAGCTGAACCACGTGGTGGTGGCCAGATTGCTACAAGAATTCAGAGGAAAGATAAATCAGGAGAACCTGGAGAAATAAAAGAGATTCTTAGAGAAAATAGGACTCCCAAGGACTAGAAAAATTCAGAAAATTAGG